TATGAGGACGGGCTGTAATGTGATGCGGGTTAATGCATCAAATTAGCCGACATCACCGTAGGATTGGGTGTAATATCAGTCCCCAAGCCGTGACTAAATTCCAGAAGGGTTTCCTCTCCCTGTAATACCTTCTGATCGGCCTTCTGCTCCCAGCATCATTACTTTGCAGTTGCTAGCGTTAAACTCTAGTTACCACTTACTGGATTATTCTCTTATTTTGCCCGTGTCATCATGTTGTGTATTGCAGTATTACACACACTTTTTTGCATCAGCAGCGAATATTGAGAAGGAATGTATCCCCTCTGGTATGTTTATTTTCTCTAGTTTTTCTCCCAGTACCTCATTTATACAGTTAAGGAGCTCCGAGCATGCAAGGTCCTCTCTAATGTGCAAACCTACTCTTCCATGTGACTTATTTATCCTATAGCATCTATATGGATTATATTCTGCTATCCAGATCTCACTGTCCATGCTCTCAGAAGTCACAGCCCCGCTCCCGTGCTAGGTAAGTCCACTACGGGCTCACCATAGCCCGTGCTACTTGGTACACTGTCCATGACTTCCCCTGCGGGAGTTTCTGTGAGTGTTCCAGATACTGCAGGTGCCCCCGCGAGGAGGCCATTTGTGAACGGTACTTTGATTCTTGGACTTTGTTTTTAGTTCTTGTATGTCGGTAAAGATGAATGTGAGGTTACTCTGGTGTATTTTGAATGGGAGATATTTCTGGCAGGTCCATTATGTGTTGGGCATAACGGACTTGTTTTGACCAGTACTGGTTGTTGCAGTGTTGTTCCCTGTCGTAGTTGTCCAACCACTTGGGCTGGACGGTTGAGCAACGGTCTTGCCTTCATGCAGGTCGGCGTTCAATCCCCGACCATCCAAGTGGTTGGGCAACATTCGTTCCCTCCCCCCACCCCCGTCCCATCCCAAATCCTTATCCTGACCCCTTCCCTGTGCTATATAGTCATAATGGCTTTGGCGCTTTTCCCTGATAGTTCAATTCAATTCCCTGTCGTAGTTGTAACTGTGTTGTGGGGGTGTGACTGTACCGTGGTAACTGTGTTGTGGGTTGTGACTGTACCGTGGTAACTGTGTTGTGGGTTGTGACTGTACCGTGGTAACAGTGTTGTGGGTTGTGACTGTACCGTGGTAACTGTGTTGTGGGTTGTGACTGTACCGTGGTAACTGTGTTGTGGGTTGTGACTGTACCGTGGTAACTGTGTTGTGGGTTGTGACTGTACCGTGGTAACTGTGTTGTGGGGTGTGACTGTACCGTGGTAACTGTGTTGTGGGGGTGTGACTGTACCGTGGTAACTGTGTTGTGGGGGTGTGACTGTACCGTGGTAACTGTGTTGTGGGGGTGTGACTGTACCGTGGTAACTGTGTTGTGGGGTGTGACTGTACCGTGGTAACTGTGTTGTGGGGGTGTGACTGTACCGTGGTAACTGTGTTGTGGGGGTGTGACTGTACCGTGGTAACTGTGTTGTGGGGGTGTGACTGTACCGTGGTAACTGTGTTGTGGGGGTGTGACTGTACCGTGGTAACTGTGTTGTGGGTTGTGACTGTACCGTGGTAACAGTGTTGTGGGGTGTGACTGTACCGTGGTAACTGTGTTGTGGGTTGTGACTGTACCGTGGTAACTGTGTTGTGGGGTTGTGACTGTACCGTGGTAACTGTGTTGTGGGGTGTGACTGTACCGTGGTAACTGTGTTGTGGGTTGTGACTGTACCGTGGTAACTGTGTTGTGGGGGTGTGACTGTACCGTGGTAACTGTGTTGTGGGGGTGTGACTGTACCGTGGTAACTGTGTTGTGGGGGTGTGACTGTACCGTGGTAACTGTGTTGTGGGGGTGTGACTGTACCGTGGTAACTGTGTTGTGGGTTGTGACTGTACCGTGGTAACTGTGTTGTGGGGTGTGACTGTACCGTGGTAACTGTGTTGTGGGGTTGTGACTGTACCGTGGTAACTGTGTTGTGGGGGTGTGACTGTACCGTGGTAACTGTGTTGTGGGGGTGTGACTGTACCGTGGTAACTGTGTTGTGGGTTGTGACTGTACCGTGGTAACTGTGTTGTGGGGTTGTGACTGTACCGTGGTAACTGTGTTGTGGGTTGTGACTGTACCGTGGTAACTGTGTTGTGGGGGTGTGACTGTACCGTGGTAACTGTGTTGTGGGGTTGTGACTGTACCGTGGTAACTGTGTTGTGGGGGTGTGACTGTACCGTGGTAACTGTGTTGTGGGGTTGTGACTGTACCGTGGTAACTGTGTTGTGGGGTTGTGACTGTACCCTGGTTCTGGTATGCAAATGATGCCTTCAGCCAATACCATTCATCTCCTCTGCTCCACCTTTTGAAACTTCTTTCTTCTCTGTCTAAAAGTTATTTGACTTTTCTCCAAAGCCGCTTTCATGTTTGCCACTCCTTGTGTAGCGTTCTGTGCCTTTCACGTGAAAGTCTGGGCAGCTGAGGTCATAGTGTTTCCTCTCCCCGGGTGATGTTTTGCACATATATGGCTGGAAACACCTGCGTGGTGATCCAAAGCGACATTTTCACTTCCTAAGTATATTTAAAAAATTTCTGGAGTTGGGGGGGGGGGGTAGCTGCATTCTTAATCCCTCTCTCTTTCCAGAATAACGGTCCGCAAATGCCCTTTTCATAGAATTTGGATATGTCTGTCTTTCTGGTCTCTCTATCGAGGTCTGTTGTTGTATCTGTACCTATCGAGCTGTCAGTGTTGTCTGTTATACTTTTCTGTCTACTGTCATCTTTAACTGGGGTATACTGAATCAGAATTTACAACATCATGAGTCTCAACTTCAGTTTCATACTTGTCGACAGCCTCGGCTCCTGTTCCAGTGTTTCCCTACTCTGCCTGGATGGTTGGTAAGCTTTTTGCGAATGAAATTCTTCGGTCAGGAGTCATATGGTGTCAAGAAGTTGCTATAATGTATTCCAAGTTGGCAAATCTTTGGTCGTACCCAGAGTAAATGTCCAGCTGCCAGCCCCGTGGCACTGTTCTCCTCTGGTCCAGCCAGGTGGGCGCTATTCTTACTCATATAGCACACTATTCACCGTGAGTTTGTATTACAGTGAACACAAGATCGTTTGTACGGCCAAGTTACTTTTGTTTACAGTTGTCTCGTATGTTTGGAGGGGGGGGGGGGGGGGTGAATGGCACAGTTGCCAAGTGTGTATGTTTGTGTGTGTGTGTGTGTGTGTGTGTGTGTGTGTGTGTGTGTGTGTGTGTGTGTGTGTGTGTGTGTGTGTGTGTGTGTGTGTTTACTAGTTGTGTTTTTGCGGGGGTTGAGCTTTGCTCTTTCGGCCCGCCTCTCAACTGTCAATCAACTGTTTACTAACTACCTTTTTTTTTTTTTTTTTTTTTTTTTTTTTTTTTTTTTTTTTTTTCCCACACCACACACACACACACCCCAGGAAGCAGCCCGTGACAGCTGACTAACTCCCAGGTACCTATTTACTGCTAGGTAACAGGGGCACTTAGGGTGAAAGAAACTTTGCCCATTTGTTTCTGCCTCGTGCGGGAATCGAACCTATAAAGATAGGTTAGGTTAGGTTAGGTAGGGTTGGTTAGGTTCGGTCATATGTCTACGTTAATTTTAACTCCAATAAAAAAAAAATTGACCTCATACATAATGAAATGGGTAGCTTTATCATTTCAACAGAAAAAAATTTGAGAAAATATATTAATTCTGGAAAACTTGGCTTATTAGGCAAATCGGGCCTTGCATAGTAGGCCGAGAAGTGCGTTCTGGCTACTAGGTACGACATATGTCTATATATATATATATATATAAATATATATATATATATATATATATATATATATATATATATATATATATATATATACATATATATATATATATACATATTTATACACATTAGGTAGCTTTGAAGAACCTGGACAAGGAGGCCATCAGAATACACTACTCAACCTACGTAAGACTGACTTTGGAGTATGCAGCTCCTACCTGAAATCTACAGTTGAAAGACGTTTAAAGTTTAATTAATAATGAAGAAATACGCATCATGCCTGGTTGAGGAGTTGTGGAGAGTAGACAGCAGTGAACGGTCGAGGGAGTTGAGGGAAAAAAAGGAACTAGGAAGATATGACAGCAACGTACGAGACATTAAAGGGAATTCCTGTCCCATAGTCCGGGACAGGAAGCCTGTAGGCGTATAGAGTCCCCCCCCCCCCTTAGACCAAATGAGCCACAGAGACGTTAGAAAGAACTTTTTCAGTGTCAGAGTAGTTAACAGGTGGAATGCATTAGGCAGTGATGTGGTGGAGGCTGACTCCATCCACAGTTTCAAATGTAGATATGATAGAGCCCAATAGGCTCAGGAACCTGTACACCAGTTGATTGACAGTTGAGAGGCGGGACCAAAGAGCCAGAGCTCAACCCCCGCAAGCACACCTAGGCGAGTACTAACTACTGACTTTTCCCCCAAGATGCAACCCACAACAGTCGCCTGAGTCCCGGGTTATTCAAAATGATAAACAGCAGATCTAGAGCCACGCCAGGAAATTAGGCGCACCAATGAACCGTATATATCGAAAACAATTCCCTCAGCGTAAGAGTTATGGAGCCAAAGGGCTGGACTTCAAGAGGAGGATCGTATCGGTAAATTCAATTTCAATAAGTAATTTGCAAAGAAAATATGTGAAGGAGCGTGAAATGATAGTTATTGGTAACGAGCGACCCCTACGAGGTGGTACTGGTGGTGGGGAGGCTATGGTGTGTGGGGGAGCACCTGGGGAGAGTAGGGGAAGCTAGACGGAACGGTGGGGTGGAAGAAGGTACTGGGGGTGGTAATGGGCGGGGAGGTGGGAGGGTGTTGGAGGGAGCCTCTTCTGGGGGGATGCGAGGAGGGGGGGAGATGGAGGTCGTAGAGGTGGGAGGTGGTGTGTGTGTTGGGGGGAGGAACCCCACAGTCTGCTCCAGGGGGGAAGGGTGAGCTTGCCTGGGAGAAGCAGTCGTCGCCCTGCCGCCATACGGGGAGGGTGTGCTCGCGCGTGGCGTGTGTGTGCGTGTGAGAGTGGAGTGTACCAGGGTGTAGTAGAGGCTCTCAACTCTCAATCTTCTTCCTGCAGAAACGATAATACAAACCAGCATTGTGTGTGTGTGTATTTAAACGTATCGTGTGTTAAAAAAAAAGCGACCAAGTTCCCTGAACATGGAAATGTAATCTTCTTGTTGTGAGAGAAAAGCAAAAGTGAATTACCGACCGAAACGTTATACTACAGTTCCAAATTTGAGGCTGACCAGGAGTACGTGTCGCCTCGGTCCTCAGGTGAGCTGGCTGGCTGCTCACCTGCAGCTTTACCTCTTGTGTACCGGCTGTGGTTAGTGCCACAAAGCTGTGGTTGGTGGTTAGTACCACATGTTAATCCTGTGGTGTGTATCTATTGCCACTTGTTTGGTGTGTGTGTGTCTACTGCCACATGTTTGGTGTATGTGTCTAGTGCCACAGTTTTGGTGTGTGTGTGTATTGCCACATGTTTGGTGTGTGTGTGTTGCCACATCTTTGGTGTGTGTGTCTAGGGCCACAGTTTTGGTGTGTGTAATGCCACATGTTTGGTGTGTGTGTGTGTGTGTGTGTGTATTGCCACATGTTTAGTGTATGTGTCTAGTGCCACAGTTTTGGTGTGTGTGTAGTAGTCCCACATGTTTGGTGTGTGTGTCTAGTGCCACGTGTTTGGTGTGTGTCTAGTGCAACATGTTTGGTTGTCTGTGTAGTGCCACATGTTTGGTGTGTGTCTAGTGCCACATGTTTGGTGTGTGTGTGTATTGCCACATGTTTGGTGTGTACTCACCTAGTTGTACCCACCTAGTTGTGCTTGCGGGGGTTGAGCTCTGGCTCTTTGGTCCCGCCTCTCAACTGTCAATCAACAGGTGTACAGGTTCCTGAGCCTATTGGGCTCTATCATATCTACACTTGAAACTGTGTATGGAGTCAGCCTCCACCACATCGCTTCCTAATGCATTCCATTTGTCAACCACTCTGACACTAAAAAAGTTCTTTCTAATATCTCTGTGGCTCATTTGGGCACTCAGTTTCCACCTGTGTCCCCTAGTGCGTGTGCCCCTTGTGTTAAACAGCCTGTCTTTATCAACCCTGTCAATTCCCTTGAGGATCTTGAATGTGGTGATCATGTCCCCCCTAACTCTTCTGTCTTCCAACGAAGTGAGGTTTAATTCCCGTAGTCTCGCCTCGTAGCTCATACCTCTCAGCTCGGGTACTAGTCTGGTGGCAAACCTTTGAACCTTTTCCATTTTAGTCTTATGCTTGACTAGATATGGACTCCATGCTGGTGCCGTATACTCCAGGATTGGTCTGACATATGTGGTATATAATGTTCTGAAAGATTCCTTACACAAGTTTCTAAAGGCCGTTCTTATGTTAGCCAACCTGGCATATGCTGCTGCTGTTATCCTCTTGATGTGAGCATCAGGGGACAGGTCTGGCGTGATATCAACCCCCAGGTCTTTCTCTCTCTCGGACTCTTGAAGTATTTCATCTCCCAAGTGATACCTTGTATCTGGTCTCCTGCTTCCTACCCCTATCTTCATTACATTACATTTGCTTGGATTAAACTCTAACAGCCATTTGTTCGACCATTCCTGCAGCTTGTCCAGGTCTTCTTGAAGCCTCAAGCTGTCCTCCTCTGTCTTAATCCTTCTAATAATTTTGGCGTCGTCAGCAAACATTGAGAGGAATGAGTCTATACCCTCTGGGAGATCATTTACGTATATCAGAAACAGGATAGGTCCAAGTAAAGAGCCCTGTGGGACTCCACTGGTGACTTCACGCCAGTCTGAGGTCTCAACCCTCACTGTAACTCTCTGCTTCCTATTGTTTAGGTACTCCCTTATCCACTGGAGCGCCCTACCAGTTACTCCTGCCTGTTTCTCCAGCTTATGCATCAACCTTTTATGGGGTACTGTGTCAAAGGCTTTCCGACAGTCCAAAAAAAATGCAGTCCGCCCACCCTTCTCTTTCTTGTTTAATCTTTGTCACCTGATCGTAGAATTCTATCAATCCTGTAAGGCAAGATTTACCCTCCCTGAACCCATGTTGATGGGTTGTCACGAAGTCTGTGTGTGTGTGTGTGTGTGTGTGTGTGTGTGTGTGTGTGTGTGTGTGTGTGTGTGTGTGTGTGTGTGTGTGTGTGTGTATTGCCACATGTTTGGTGTGTGTGTAGTGCCACATGTTTGGTGTGTGTGTAGTGCCACATGTTTGGTGTGTGTGTAGTGCCACATGTTTGGTGTGTGTGTAGTGCCACATGTTTGGTGTGTGTGTAGTGCCACATGTTTGGTGTGTGTGTAGTGCCACATGTTTGTGTGTAGTGCCACATGTTTCGTGTGTGTGTAGTGCCACATGTTTGGTATCTGTGTAGTGCCATATGTTTGGTGTGTGTGTGTAGTGCCACATGTTTGGTGTATGTGTAGTGCCACATGTTTGTGTGTAGAGCGACATGTTTGGTGTGTCTAGTGCCACGTGTTTGGTGTATGTGTAGTGCCACATGTTTGGTGTGTGTGTGTAGTGCCACATGTTTGGTGTGTGTGTGTAGTGCCATATGTTTGGTGTGTGTAGTGCCATATGTTTGGTGTGTGTGTGTGTAGTGCCACATGTTTGGTGTGTGTGTATTGCCACATGTTTGGTGTATGTGTGTGTAGTGCCACATGTTTGGTGTGTGTGTAGTGCCACATGTTTGGTGTGTGTGTAGTGCCACATGTTTGGTGTGTGTGTAGTGCCACATGTTTGTGTGTACTGTCACATGTTTGGTGTGTGTAGTGCCACATGTTTGGTATGTGTGTAGTGCCATATGTTTGGTGTGTGTGTAGTGCGACGTGTTTGGTGTGTGTAGTGCGACATGTTTGGTGTGTGTGTGTGTAGTGCCATATGTTTGGTGTGTGTGTAGTGCCACATGTTTGGTGTGTGTGTAGTGCCACATGTTTGGTGTGTGTGTATTGCCACATATTTGGTGTGTGTGTGTATTGCCACATGTTTGGTGTGTGTGTAGTGCTACATGTTTGGTGTGTGTAGTGCCACATGTTTGGTGTGTGTGTAGTGCTACATGTTTGGTGTGTGTGTAGTGCCACATGTTTGGTGTGTGTGTAGTGCTACATGTTTGGTATGTGTGTAGTGCCACAGTTTTGGTGTGTGTGTGTGTAGTGCCACAGTTTTGGTGTGTGTGTGTGTAGTGCCACAGTTTTGGTGTGTGTGTGTAGTGTCACATGTTTGGTGTGTGTGTGTAGTGTCACATGTTTGGTGTGTGTGTGTAGTGCCACAGTTTTGGTGTGTATGTAGTGCCACAGTTTTGGTGTGTGTGTGTGTAGTGCCACAGTTTTGGTGTGTGTTGTGTGTGTGTGTGTGTGTGTGTATTGCCACTTGTTTGGTGTGTGTGTGTATAGTGCCACAGTTTTGGTGTGCGTGTGTGTGTAGTGTCACATGTTTGGTGTGTGTGTGTAGTGCCACAGTTTTGGTGTGTGTGTTGTGTGTGTGTGTGTGTGTGTATTGCCACTTGTTTGGTGTGTGTGTGTATAGTGCCACATGTTTGGTGTGTGTGTGTATAGTGCCACATGTTTGGTGTGTGTGTATATTGCCACATGTTTGGTGTGTGTGTGTACTCACCTATTTGTGCTTGCGGGGGTTGAGCTTTGGCTCTTTGGTCCCGCCTCTCAATAGTCAATCAACTGGTGTACAGATTCCTGAGCCTACTGGGCTCTATCATATCTACATTTAAAACTGTGTATGGAGTCAGCCTCCACCACATCACTGCCTAATGCATTCCATCCGTTAACTACTCTGACACTGAAAAACACACACACGTGTGTGTGTGTGTGTGTGTGTGTAGTGCCACATGTTTCTGGTCACATCTCTTAATGTCTCCGAGGCTGGCTCAGTGTGGTGGTGGTGAGCGCGGTGTCCACCACGCCCACCACAGCTCCTCTGCTCAACTGTCATTTCCACGGCGTCTCTCCATGGAGTACTCTTGTAACCAAGACGAATTCTCGCTATTACAGATTCTGCTCCCCTTGGCCACCGGTCTTTTTGACCAGTGTTTGTATTGCCAGCTGCAACACGTTTCATGATAGCCTAAACAATAAGCCTATTGTTTACGTGTTGATGTTTCATATGATAGCTTATTGTTTACATGATGTTTCATATGATAGCTCAATGTTTCATAGGCTATGGCATGTAATGACGTAAGCTGGGTCTCGATACCTGCTTGATACCTGGTTGATGGGGTTCTGGGAGTTCTTCTACTCCCCAAGCCTCGCCCGAGACCAGGCTTGACTTGTGAGAGTTGGGTCCACTCTCGTTGCAGGCATTTGCCTCAACGACTTGTTTCAATATGTCTCAATGACGTTCATTTGAAGCTTAATCCACTAGTGTCAGAGTCTCTCTGAACCACTCACTCTCTCTCCCGCCATGTCTCGTCTTAATGTGTGTGAAATTTTGTTCGTGTCCGTTGTTTAAGAGTTTGATTTGAAAGGCGACTTACCTGCTTGATAACCGCCTTGATGGGGTTCCGGGAGTTGTTGTTCTGCCCGAGGCTAGGCTTGACTTGGCTCGACTTGATTTGATAGTTCTAACACTTTATTTCTTCTCGTATTTATCCCTTTTATCCATTTGTAAGTCTGACATGTATGTCCTCTCGAATATTACATCGCATTATGACGTATAAATCCGCAACGACCAAAGTATGGTGTACTATAAATCATAGCTGTTTGCTCAATTTACATGATTTAACGTTTTGTATGCGTGGGTCCTTGGATCGTATTCGAATAATTAAGTACATCAGTTTAGTGATGTTGTGATACCAACTCTGGTGCAAGTGTAGGGACTCATTGCCTCGGGGAGGAAAATAAAAGAATACTCAGAAGGCCTTATGGATCCTCACCGAACACTTTGATATTTTCTTCTCATACCACCTCTAATCTTTTTTTATGTATGTATATATATATATCTCGCTATATTTTAAAATTTCAATACACAAAAAAGGGTTACAACATTGTTTACATGCAGCGTACAAGACTACTTGTCACAGATTGTAAAATTCCTCCAGCTCCTCGATGGATGCAGTGAGCATTTCCTCTCTGGATTGCCAAACTAAGGCAGTGAAAGAGGAAACTGGCGGCTCTAGGGGGTCTCTAGTTTCAATTGGCTTGGAACCCAGCTCCTTCAAGAAACTAGCAGGACTTTTACCCCAGGCACCAAGTGTCTCTGAGGCAATGGGGACAAAATTATAGTAGTGATCAAGATTTCTGTATTTACGGGACTTG